ACCAAAAGTAACCTTTTCTGGGATGACTGTAGCTTGAAGAATTTCTAGAAAACAACTTTTTGTTACTTAAGTGGCTCAAGGTGCCTTCCAGCCACTCAACTGAACCATATCCAGCACTATAAATATATGGAACGCTCATTGGTTTTGGGGTTTTTGGGGGTTGCTTTTTAAAAAAAAAAAAAAATCAATCCCATCTTTTAACAGAAATTCCCTATTTTGAAAGATGCAACTCTAAGTAGAGTTTATGATTCATGAAGCACAATTCTCCCCCAGGTATCTGACTGTATGAGCATTTCCTGGAAAGGTACACTTGAATGCATAGCTAGAGAGAAGAAAAAGCTGCTTCTGTGCTAAGGTGTTTTACACTGTTGACAACTGAAGGAGAAAGGAAAGATGGTGACATTAATGTTATTTAATGTTATTAATGTTATATACAGTTTCTCACCTGTAAAATGGGGTTAGCAATGAAGACAGGACACAATAACCTACTAGTATCATGAGCAGTGAAGTGTCACTGCCCACAAAGCTCACAGTTACGTTTAACAGAATAACAGAAACAAACATTTACTTTGTGGAAAAGGCTTCCCAGCTAAGGCATAATTGGCTAATCAAGCAGTGACTCTCAACATCCTAAAAATAACAGAAGAGAGACAGGTTAAGGTACAAATGAAGTCACAATTCTCTGACCCTAAGCTAAACTGGTTACCACCCCCACATTCATGCTCTGCCCCTGCAGATGTGGTCCAACATGTTGCATTATTCATGTAGCTCGTTGGGACCATAGGACAGGTTTAATACTCAGGCAGGTTTTACTTGTATGGTTTAGGAGTGGGTTTATGTTATGAGTTTTCCACATGAGCAACTTTTCCGAGATCCTCACACAAATGGGAACAGGATGCCACAATGCAAACTGATTCTACAGGAACTACTTCCACAGAACTGTCAAATCTGTATGTAGATTGCAAGTGTTTTAAATGTGAGTCTGAAACTTAAATTTCTGTAGCAAAGCTGCAAAAGAACCATAGGATAATGTTCCAAATGAGCATTCAAAAGACATTTAATTCACGTGACTCCAAATCCAAGTGTCTATCCAGAGTAATTTCTGGGAAATTTAGAGAATTTTTCTGAAAGCCACAGAAACCTGCAACCACATTCCATTTTTGTTGTTGCTGGAAACCTGAATGAAAGTGAAACACCACAGATTCAACTTCCTCTGAAATGCAACAGCACATTCACAATGAAAACACAAACCCACTATGCTTGTTTGAATGCTGCTGTGTCAAAACAGAAATAAGTCCTGCAAGAAAAACCTGTGGTAGGTAAGTGATGCTTGAAGCTGAACAGCAGCATTCAAGATGGAACATAGCTTCTGTCAGAAGGAAAAAAAGTAGCAAAAGGAATGAGGCTTCACAGTACTGAGTGAACGTGCAGATGCTCAATCACAAAATACGCATCAGAGACAATGGATGACAGGATCCTTGCCATTCTTAGCAAAACCACAGTGGCTGCAGAAGCTCACTATCACCAAAACTGTGACTGTTTGAGCACTAGAAGTGAAGAGCACAAAAATACTGGTAACAATGAATTAATCTCAGAAAACTTGATTATGTAGAAAATGCTGCAAATCACCAAAAATAATGGTTCATAACTAGGAGGTTATCATAGTGACTGATCTCAGAGCAAGAGTAGCTTTGTCTCTTAGGTTGCTTGGAGGCTAGTAAATGAGAGATCCAACCAAGACATGTCCACTGTAAGCAGGAGGTTGAGTTTGGAGGAACGTTAGATGTTCATCATGGCAAAAGGAAAGCTCATCACATATCCAGATAACCTGCTGATGGATCAACTTGCCATAGATAATCTAGAATTGAAGATGAAGTCATAAGCAGTGAAATCAAAAGCAGATGTCTCAGCAGCTTGAGTAGAGCATCCTTGAAGATGAGAGATGATACCAAAAGAACAAGGTGAGAATGAACTGGAACTGTAGCTGCTCCACCCTCAGAATCAAGGCTCAATAAATGTATCTGTTTCTATTACATGCTTTCTTCCTCCCACAGTATTTAGGAGCAAAAAGAAGCTACCAGAGAGCAAAGCAGCTAATAAATTCCTTTGGCCAAGATTTGGTTTATGTAGTTACATGCCACAGAAGTCATCCAAAGCGTATTTCGCCACTATACACCATAAAGTCACTAGCAGACAAATACCTGAATATTAAATAGACCAGGACTTGTATGTTTTAGTGAACACCCAAAAAGAATCACAAATCCCTTTAGTTTCAGAAGCTGGGATCAAGTTCAGAACAAAATGGGGTTTGATGTCAACCCATATACCTCACCATTTACACACTGCTCCAGCTTGGGATAATACTGATAGACTGGAGCAGGGAAGAAACACTGCAAAGGAGCAGCAAAGAAACACTGCACCATGTGAGTGAAACTCCTGGTAAGCCTCTCTTCAAAGAGGTACAGCCCCCAAAAAGCTGCCAGTCAGTGCTGCAAAGCAGAGAACATTATCACAGAAGAGCCTTTGCCAGACTACAACACTGGAAGAAAAGACCAGACCTATTGTCTATAAGATGCAAGAAGAGAACACCACAGCCTCAATGCATGAAGGAAAACGAAAAGGTCTGGTCAGATCCTTGTTTGCTTACATACCAAAATAATCCCAAGCTGGACAGGGTTCAATTTTCTGGTCCACAATGATGTATCAGTGAGCCAAGGCAGTATAGGATACCTGCTCACTTTCAAATCCCCTGCAACAAAAATGTCTTCTGTCAGTTCATTTAAAAATATGTTAATGGTTGCGCAAAGCAGAGTTGAGCATTAGAAGAGTACTGGCATAGTTATCAAGCCTTATTCCCTCCGCACAAGGTGGGTCACCAAATAAACAAGGTGATTTTAGGTAAAAATTTAAAAAGCAATTTCGGCTGGAACATCCCCAGCCAGATTATCTGTATTACTAATGGCAGGATTCTGGTCCAAAGAGAGCCTCAGTAACAGAGCTCATGGAACATGTCTGGTCATTAGCAATAAAGATGAGTTTTACAACACATACAGACCACCTGATATAATAAGAGACACCAAAAGATACCATTTGAGAGTTGCAAGAGAAGATCCAAAAGCGTTCAAGATTTTAACTGTCATTGTTTCCGACGATGAAGCGATTCTGAAGAGCCCCATAAACAAGTCATACCTCACTGAATTATAGGTCAAAGAATGGGAAGAAACACAGATCACTGAGAAACTACACAGTAAAAGTTATGAATCCTGTCTGTAAGTTCCTCTTCTTCCAAAGTAAACCACAGAGTACTGTTAAGAACCATCCCACAAAAAGATGAACATTTTTGTATGTACTCTGTACTGAAAATAATGAATTTAAAAATATGCACACACGTACACTCATGCTCTTGGGTTTAGCAATGGTATATTCTTGTCCAAAGTATCACGGAATTAGTACGTTGAACAGGACAAGATTTACAGAAATTAACCAGTTCTGTGAGCATGACAGTTTCCAAAAGCACCATCATAGATTTTATTTCACTTCATGTAGTACCAGTAACTAATCTTATGTCAAGATCAGAGTTTGCAAAAATAATGGCTATCTGCATCTGTCCTAATCTAACAGCTTGCAGAAACAAACCTGCACATATTCTTGACTTTATTTCAAATCTTTTCAGTGCTCACCCATCTGTTTCTGATACACACTGTATATCCACAATTCTTAAATATTTCCATATATCTCTGTAAGGTATTCAAGACAGAAAGATCTTTTTGCAGTACTAACAGCCTGCCACAGCTGGACATCTTCAGCCACCATTCAACAATCTATAACCTTTCCTTACATCTATTTCAGCAAGTATTAATCCCCAACACCTAATGCCATCTCCAAGTAGAAGAGGTAAAGTTTTCACAGGTATCATAGCTCTACACTTTGTTCGAGTTTCACTGGAAGCTAAACTATTAAAGGACTTAAAACTCTTACTAGCCACTTTATAAAAATTAAGAAAGAAAACACTACTAATCTATTTGGGATATTTCCAATACTTAGTGAAAGCTGATTTATACTTAAGAGGCCTAAGAACTTCTCGCTCTGTTGGAAGAGTTCTCACCATGCATCTAAACCCCCTTTTAGAATCCTGCCATAAGCTAGATGGACTCACTAAGGGTTAAACCATTTTCTTCCATCTTTGAAATGTCTTTCTTTGCAGTGGAATTGACATTTTTATTTCTGTGTTCTGAAATGGGTTGAAGAAAACACGAATGTTTGATTTAACTGACACAACTCTGAACTTTCAGTTAAGGCATAAGCAGACACAAACTACATTGTAAAGCCTTGGAAACTGCTCCGGAATAATCAGGGATGACTTGGCATATCTGATTTTTCCAAGGTTTAACCCTCCCCGCCATAACATGATCCCCACAATATTACAGGTTCCTTTTCAAAACCTTAAAAAAACCTAATTAATACTAATTTTTCTTTGAAAGTCAGAATTAAAAAAGTTAATACAAATCAATATACTTTTGTCATATAAAGAACATAATTTTGAAAATAATTTCTAAATCTTTATAAAATATTAAGACTGAATTTGTCCTCCTTCAGTAAAGGACATCTCTTTTGGTATTTTTATTAGTATTACATAAAGAACACAAAATGCTCATTTAATAAAGCTAATACTGAAGTAAACTGCAGAAACAGTCTCACTGTGTCTAGACTCAGAGGTCAGGATTGAGAAGTTCCAACACTTCAAGAATTATTTACGCCTCTCCAAACTGAACAAAAAGCTGGTTTTGATTTTGGCTGCAATAGGTAATCCTTTTATCTCTTCCTTCTTGTAGTTGTAGACATAGTAAGAGCAAAAAGCACTAGTAAAGTAAAGGCCTGAGTTCATCCATACATTTCAAATTCTATGAAATTCAAAAGAAACCCAAGTTCAGAGAGTAAATTTTGGCCATTTATCTCTAAATTAATAGAAAAAAAACATTAAGCAGTAAAATAAAACTTACTCAGATACTTGTGCAGCAGTTGGGATATCTACAGAAACTGAAAATAAAAACAAAGGATTTAATTACAATTATTTTAAAATGTGGAAATACAGAAGTACTCACTGTCAAATCCAAGTACACAGAAATAATGCAACTAAAACCAGGACTGCAATAACAGAGACATCCACACTAAGTGTTCATATACTACAAAAAAAGACTGTATGTACTCACCTTTCTCTATAATAACTTGACAAGTATGAGTGTGGCTCTCACTCAGATGTGTGGCCATGCTATCTAAGCCAGAAACATCAGCCAGGAAATCACAGTTAAGACACACCACAGTCAGGCCTCTGGAAAAGAAAAAAACAAAAAGGAAGTATAAATACAACGTGGCTGTGAAAATAGTTTTCTTAACTTACAGCAACTCGACAGACCATAAAAAAAAATTCATTCAACTTGATTATTCACATAAAAACATATTCTTACTTTTTCTACTGCAACTAGTATCAGGAAATCCCCATCAATGACCAGGGCATCTCCATGCTGGATGTAGTACAAAGAACATGACTTTAGACAGAAATTTATCTGTAAAGCATGAGTTTCTCTGTTTTGATGAGTTCTGTTTACATGGTTGTTTTTTATTTTCCCTCACCCCCTCCCCATTTTGCACCTTATGAATAATGGAAAAATAAAGAAATAGAAATATTATTAAAAACTGCTCAGAGTTAAGAAAAAAATAATAAATGTTGACAAACAGTACATATTTGTCACTGACCAGAGCACTGCTATGGGAACTTTTATTTTCTCTGATCTTTCCCAATTGTGGAAACCTAGAAATTCTAAGAGCCTATAATCTCAATTATCAATGAACATCAGGAAGTAAAAACATAATGATCTGTAACTGAAAAAAGCTGCATTACCGTAGATCTTCTGATTGCTTCTTATAGATCCAAAATCTTTTACTGGGACGAGCACTGTGAAAACTAAATACATGACAACATTACCACTTCAACTGGTTTGCTTGAGTACATCACTCCTCATATCCCCTACAATATCCATGGTTCTGCAATTTGCTTATGGCAAGGCATGAAAACAGAAGGTTGATTTACTGCCCTGCATTATTCCTAAACATTACATCCCTAAAGCTTTACAGGCTTGTGAATCTCAGCTCTAGTTTAAAACAATGTCTCTCGAGTAAGCAACGAGTGTGGGAGAGGAAAGGCTTCATTTCATTGGCACAGGCCTGCAAGAACAGTTACTGCTTCCACCAGCAGTTTAGCTCCTGAAGAGCCATAGCTGCAGCCACAGAGTGCACCACAAAAAAGTGAAGCTTTGCCAAACTTGTGCTTCCTTAAGAGATGGCCCTACGTGAGAAACGCAATTTTTAGACAACCTGTAAGTCGTCCCTTATGCAGGTCAGGTATGTGCCAACACTGTTCTCCCCACTAAATCACAGTCAGGCAGCTGAGTACAGGGGTTGCTACTGCAGAAACACCCTCCAGATTTCCTCCTCACCATCCCTTCTTCCCTACACTCACCAAGAGCTGGGATAGCTGCTGCACAGGATGGAAGCAGAAGAAGCATTAGTGCATCAAGAGCACAAGGGACAAAAGACTGGCTATTTTTCATGCATAGTTGAATTTGACCAAACACCCAGGACAGTGGTCACAACAGGAACAGTTTGCCTTAGAATTCTCTTTCTCCTTCCAAAGTAAACTTTTTCTCGTACCATTGGCATCAAGCACAATAATCTTAGGTTTTTGAGATTGCAAACAATAGATTATATGCACTAAAGCATGTAAATATTTCAGCCTAGGACTTAGATGAACATTGAAATCAGTATGACTTAGATCACAGATCCAAGAAATCAAGCACTCACAAATGCCAAGGCATTTTATACACACATGTCTTTAGGAAGACAGCTGCATTCAGGAATTTTCCACAATACACTTGGCTTGTTCAGGGCACAGGATTAACAAGTAGGTTTTCAAAACTTTGTTTTACTGTCACTGCTATGTGGTCTGTGTCTAATTATTCCATAGTGTAATTCTATGGCTCTGAAAACTAATGCATTTGTTCTCTTAACAGGCTTTTCTACAGCTGTCATCACCAATACCCTACACGCTGCTGCACCATCAGTGACAAAGCTCCTGCAAAATGAGATGTTATTTCTGTGGATGACCAGAAGTAATAGAAGCAAAAAGTATCCACTTGAGTATGCTATTTGAGACATCCCTTATATCTGAGCACAGATTTCACTAGCAATAGCTGTGCTCTGTATGCATTCAGCACTTGTAAAACCAGGAGGCTTCAATCTGAAACCTGGAGAACAGGCAATAATCAGTCATTTTTCCTAACTCAGGCTGAAGTGATTATAGAAGATCCCACAGAAACTCTGAAGCTAAGACAAAACACTGTCTGAACCACTGCATTTTAAGGCAAAACAAGAAAATGGGGTTTAGGCCCTCATTACAAAGTAAAAAATCCAACCTTACACAGACCCCTGCCATTCTGATGAGCCAGTTCCAAACTCAGCTAACCAACACTTAGCCCCACCTTACGTGAACTCAGGGAGTATTTGCTAAGCCAGTAAAAACTTTGCCGAGTTCTTACTTCATCATGTGGTTCACATAGGCTTTGCTACAGCTGGTGCTGTATCTGCACAAACTGCAGTGGACGTAGGCAGGGAAATGGCTGGCGAAATCCTTGATTTCTGAGTAACACTCAATGCACTTGTGATGCCCCGAGCGACACCTGACAGGGACATGGAAGAGTTAACAGTGAAGAGCAACACTTTAGGATGACAAACTATTTCAAACTTTTTTGCTTCAAGCTTGTCTCTATTAGGGAAAAATGAGGTACTTAAAAAAGTACCAGCTAAATACTTAGAGCTTACACTTGCACACAAAACTCGCACACTCCAATATTCCCCACAAGCTTTGAAATATCTACAAAGTGAGAATGTAATCCTGCTCTTCCCCAATTTTGCTGGCTGATTTTAGATGTCTCCTAAAGCTACACACTTTAAAAGTGAAAGTCAGCAACATCTTTGACAAAGAAAACTGCTAACTTATCTTAGGCAGTGAAATTATACTCTGGTCATGAAACACCCACAAAATTATTAACATAAGGATAGCAAACCCCCCAGAATTGCAAAGATAAAAACAAGCTACTGGGAGAATGCTGCCTTATTTTCTTATTTTTTTATTAGCTCCCCAAAATAAGTCATCTCCTAGGACAGACAGGATTTAATCTTTTAGCCAACAAGTACTCAAAAAAAAAAAAAAAAAAAAAAAAGGAACAAGAAAAATATTTTCCCCTCCATAAGAAAATTCCAGAGAACACGTAGGCAGATGTATTCCCCTTCACAGGTCAGTTTTAAACATCAATCTGCCTAATGAGTCAGTATTTCAAGAGTCTGTGGCTCTGTGCAGAGAAAAATTCTAAATGTAGCATAGAGAAGTTTCCATAACAAAGATGTCTGCCACTACTAAAACTGGGGAATGAAGACACTGAATTATAATCACAGTGCCAGTATGTGGAAAGTTTATGCACCTGTTTTTTCTGCAAACCTGAGGTGTCAGATGTTCTGTATTACAGTACTGGAAGTTATCAAAGGACAATTAAATGATAATTCATATTGAAAGTATACTTAAAGATAATTTTAAGGCTAATATTTTACCTTAGATGATGAAATGTTATATTTGTAACTTCCTTTTTTTTTTTGCTGTTGGTCCATGCATTTTGTTTCTTTGATGTAGTTTGTTTTGATTTTCCTCTGGATTTATTTGTATTAGATTTGCTATGATTTTTAGTGGTTGTGGCTTTAGTTTTAGGTGATAACTGAAATGTGGAACTGCTTGTACTGACAGAAGATGTAGCTGATGATCCTGACTGATGAGATCCTAGAGATGCTCGAATAGTCACCTGTAAGTATGAAATAAAAATTAGATTTAAGTGAAGTTCCCATTTCTAATTGTGTCAAAGTTTAATACACTTAAGACCACAAATCATAGCATAAGAAACTCTGCTGAGTAAAGATTACTTTGAAAAACACAAAACACTGAAAATATTTTTGGACTCCATAGCCTCCTGGATGCTTAAAAAGCTTGTTTTGGTGGAAATAGCCGTGACAAAAACACACTGCTTTCTTCTCAGACCTGCAACTGGCTACATCTTGCTTTCTTAAAACAAAAAAAATGGAGCAGAAGGGTCAGGCCAGTGAGTCCTCTAAGAATCCCAAGCAATCCCATCAGTGCCTGGATTTAACAAAACCCCTGTGTCTTGCTGCCTCAGGATTAGGCACTCTACCTCCTTCAGGTATTTTTGCTCCTCATCCTAGAACGCCAAGAACTAATTCTGGCTTCTGATCTCTCCTCTGGCATTATCAAAACTCCCCTGTCTTGCCCTTAAATTTGGTTCCTGAGTTTTCACTCCCAATTGTACTTCTTGCCCACACTCATGGTTCAGAAGCACCTCTAACCTTCTAACTTCTAACCCTGTTCCCAGGCTCCTCAGTCTCATCATGTGCATCTTGTGAAGGTCTAACACCAACATTTTAATGTAACCTAAGCTTTTGCTACGTCAGGAATGCTCTGAAATCTTTAGAAAATTGAGGCTTTGTCACAGAGTACAGAATCAGTGCTTCATATTCATTCTGCCAAGCAACACAATCAACATCAACTGCAGTCATTTTCCCCTTCCTGACTCTACAGCAAATGAACTATGAAGAGCTGATCAAAATGTAAATTTTCTTCTTCCTTGCAACTGAAAGGACATCTATTTCAACATCTCATTAAAACACTGCAGGAAAAACTCTCAAAATCTACAAGAAAATCCTAGCCTAAGTAGTTTTGTCTTAGGAAATCAAAGAATGATTTAAAGATGGTCTAAGTGTACTGAGGGGACCCAAGTTTTCCCTCAACCCCTTTGAATGCTGAAGCTAAGAAAACCTGGGGAACTCAGCTGTGAGCACATACTACCTGTGGAGAAGCAGGTCTTGCATTTTTTGCCAACACCTTTCCACAGGTCAAAAATCTTTCACTAGAAATGATGCAACAGCATCTCCTAGCACAAGAAAGGAGAAATGGCAAGCAACAGCTCAAGAAAGCTGCAGCTCTAACTGGACTTCTGCCAAATACATGTATGGAACAATGGGACAAAAAGCAACGCCAGGAATCACCAAGAAGAAACCATAAGTTGTGCCTGGTAGTTCTTGCAACAGGAGTATTTTTTAGAGTTTTAGTTTTGGAGGTGGGAAAAAAAACCAACCAAAAAACAATCCCAACACTTGGCTTTGTAAAAGAAAGGAGAAAAGTACTTCTTTCTATTCCAGCCTTTCCTCTGCCAAGATGTTTTTTATTTCTTTGTCCCCTCAAATTCTCCTGTATGGACACTCACCTTTGTCCCAGGAGGCAAGCCTTCTAACTGTTTGGGTTTCCTAAACGTTCGGTGATGCTGAGTCTTGTGATCCATTTTCTCTTTGCATGTTAAAAACTGCAGCCTGCACTTAGTGCAGCGGTACACTCCCTTTTTCTTTGAGAAATAAAAGACAATCTATAGTCAGCACGGATGGCATGATAAACAAATCCCTGGCACCAGCTTGTCTCAAGCAATGCTCATCCTCTTTTTTAAAACTTCAACTGAACAAGCTTTCAGTACTCTACAAAGACAAGACACTGTGTAGGAATTAGAGAGGATATTTAAATGCTTGAAAATGCAAGGCAGCATGATTAGTAAGAAGACAAACTGGACTGCAGTTACAAGAAGACACTGTCCTTCACTATCTTTTTCTTTATTTCACTAGTGAAAGGTTTGCTAGTAACCTCAAGAACAACAGAACACATCATTATAATATAATAAAGAACCCAAATAGCAAAAAGATTCTTTTAAGGATATTCAGAGATTTTTTTAAACAGGGAGATGCTGCCACACAAGAACATGACAATCATACAAATCATACAAATGTAACTCATACAAATCAGTTGAGGTTCATTTTTCAAAGGGAGATTTCTTACATATATTTAGCATTTTTTCTAGCATTAAGGATTGAAATTATCTGCTTACCTGATGCCTCATGTAATGATGCATATATGGTGCTCCAATTTTGATTACTTTGAGGCAAAATGGGCATAGCAAATGTTTTGTGTTTTCATGAACTGTTCTAAAATGTGTTTCTACATCTGAAAAAGCTGAGGATCTGTAGCTGCACACCTAAAATAAAAAGGTTGAGTTTTTTTGTCAAAAGTTTATTAACAGGGAAGACAGGGGGGTGGTGTAATCTAAATAGGAAACAGTCACTTAGGTACCTGGCAAACATATGGCATTTCACCTGGCTTGTGATTGTCCTTCATGTGTTGCAAAAGAACTTGCTCTGTTTCAAAGGACAGTTCACAGATTTTACAAATGGCTAGAAAAAGTGAAAAACAAGATAAAAAGTCAAAATTTGATTGGGGTCATAAATAGGTAAGTTGTGACACATATGTATATGTGAACTGTGTATGTTTCTAAAGGTAAAGCAATCTAATATTATTCTACTCTTTAGAAGAAATTCCCTGTACAGTTTCAAAAAGCCAGGAGGGCAAAGGTCATAAACAACATGAGTTCTAGCAGTAAAGCTTCCCATTAAAAAAAAAAAAAAAAAAGAAAAGGGAAAAAAAAAGAAAAGGGGGAAAAAAAGGAAAAGGGGGAAAAAAAAAGCGCTTTTACACACATTGGTCTAAAAAAATCCAACTGCATGAGTGCTCAGTTCCTATACTGAATCTCAAGATTACTGTTCGTTAAGTACAACAGCTTTATTCTGAACTTACAAACCAGCAAAGTAAAAGTCAGAAAATTCCTAAAAATTGTGGCTTAGGAAAAACTCAATGGACTCTGATCCAACTTACTGGATGACTCGTAAGGTGTGTGTGTGCTCTCAATGTGGCACTGCAGCTGGAACGGGGTGGGGAACTGCCGGTAACAGTGCTGGCAGGTGGTGTGGCTTTCCCAACTTTCATTGCTTTGCTTCTCGAGCTCCAAGTGATGTTTCATGTGGTTCATAAACCTTTAAATTACAGTGAACAGGTGCAAAAACCAACATTTTAACATTTGCTATACATGACAAAGTTCTTTAGGAACTTTACTGTGAAAGGACGAAGTTGACTAGAAATGTTGGCTTTAAAGAACGTACAACATACGTGAAACGTGTTCTAAGACAAAACAATCTACTACATTTTTCATGTTTACTTAGAATTTTTGCCTTGAAATAAAGGGAATTAAGACAACAAGAACACAACCTGTCAGCTGTTGACACTTCATTCACCGTCACCAGTCTCAAAGTCACATTTTGAAACAAGTATTACTTCAGCTATGCTAAAAACTATTAAGTAGCAAGAATGTATCTGCAACTTGGACATGACAGCTTTATGGGAAACCACATCCATTCAAGCCTGGCAGGGTTCCAGGAGCCTTCTTTGTCTAAAGTATTTAGGACTGAACTTGAATTATGAAGGGTAGTTATCAAAGAATGCCACTATGCAGCTCATGTCAAAAGGGTAGGAGAAACTGGTATGTTACTGCTTCAAATTAGCACCTTTTACTCATTAATTTGTCCACCTGTGTGGAGTTGGAACCTATCCTGGCTGGTCAGCAGCACAGAAAGTCACCATTACTGGGGGAGCAGCACAAGGACAGGTTTGCTGCACAAGCTTCTACTGTTAAACCTCCAAAACTCTTCTATTTTCAATGTGCTTCATCTCATACAGCCAGAGGAGCTTTTAAATGCAGGTCACACTCACAAAAGGAATGCAGACCTTGGAACTGGACAAAACAAATGAGCAAGGAGAATAGTCTCTTGAGCTCAAGCTTCTAATATCAAGCAGCTGGTTAAAAAAAAAAGGAATAAGAAATTTTAAAAAAAAAGCCAGTTGAAGCTATGCAGGTACCTAACCAGACAAAAGGAATTGGCACTGTTAGTGCATATTACCCTAACAGCAAACTATTGCAATGGTATGTTCAGTCACAGATCTTTTAAAGGAAGAAGGGGACTACTATCAGGAATCACTATTGGTTTTCTGAATTAAGGTCCAAAAAACTTACACCTGAAGTGGAAAGGTACTATGTATTTATTTTGTCCATTAGAAATAGTTAAAAGTGCAAAATATACCTTGGAATAAAAATTCTGAAGTTATAGAAATATGGAGTACGGCTACAAAATTACAGCAAAAATTAATATGGTAAAATCAACTCTAGAGAAACTAATGACATATTTTTAATGACTTGCTGTGGAACCCATAGGCACCATAGCACCAACAGCTTACAATATAATGCTGAATAGAAAATAGTGCCTACTTAATGATTAATAGCAGATTTCATCATTTTAATTACACGGAACTTGTGTTTTGTTCAATAATATGGTCTAATGTTAGCATAAACCTGTTCATTTTAACTTGCAGACTGTGCCCTTTGAAGCAATAGTCCATTTTTCAGTTTTACATTCTGCTACTTCAGCTTCCTTTGAAGAATGCATGTAAAAAAAGTTCAGTGACCTTAACTTCCAAAGGAACGATGACACAAAGTTGTCTACCTGCTAAAACAGCTTACTGAAGTTTTTTTTTCAGCATTTGGAAGTAAAATTATTCCATCAAAATAACAGATGTTACATAAGTAAACCACAGACTATTAGTCACTGTGCATCCCTAGAGGGAATTAACACTCGCATCCACCGGTATCACCATCAATCCAGATGGCAAATTGTAAAGTACTTTGTGTTGCCCCTTCTAACCCCAAAGTCCTACAACTGCTCTCATTAAATCTCTATGTTTATGTCAAGCACCACTAAAATTTATACTCTAATCTGTAAAAAGTTCCAAGTTACGGTCACACGTGCAAAGTAAAAAATTAATTTGGTTTCTTTTCAGTCATCCAATATTATCAGTCTTCAGAAAGAAGAGAACTCTATTGCAGAGGCACAAATTTTTAACACATGAAACTGCTATGGGCTGTGATTAAAAAACAATTAAGGAAGTGAGTTCAAATACCTTATGTTATTTTTAAGAACTTTGAGACAACTGATGCACTTAAATGTCGTATGAGTCTTCTGCTCCTGTTGCACCTGCTGGGTGTCACCTTCATCCTTCCCATAATAAAAGTCATTAACTAACATAATCAATTTTCCTTTCTCAGATTCAGCAATCTTACTTGTTGTGCTCAAACATTCTGTTTTGATCGTTGCTGGGAAAAAGTTATTTACCATATCTGGACAACAATACTGGAGGCAAACAGGGAGGAGAAGAGACAGAAAGAGACAAAGGTATCAGTCTCTCTTACCAAACTGCATCAATGACAACAGCATTTTAAAATCTGAAGGCACTCACCAGACTTAGATGCAAAGCTCAGTTCTCTGATACACCAGCCTTAGCCATATTTTCATATGATTTTAAACAATAATTGATCTTTATGTAGTGCTCAAGTAATAAACCACTACACATTATAAAAACTGGAAAAGGATGATTCTCATAGGTTCATGTAAGATACAGTCAATAAAAATACCAGAACACTAGTGCTGCCTTGCTCATGAGAAAAATTTCTACTTCATTAACAAGAGAAAAGCAGTTTTTATGCAAGTATTTTGCTGACAAGCATAAATTTATTGAGAACTTAAAGTTCTACCTTTTATTTCTTAGGGGAGAACATATGTTGAAACTTGCAAAAGTTCTTTCCAGCATTACTAAAAACCTCAGAGATTCTCAGTCACATAATACACATTGTTCAAGCTTCTCTATGTCAAAGTATACACAAGGAATCTTGGCCAAATGGAAATACTATGAAACTTAACACTTAAAATGTCTGAAGTACTTCATAAAGAAGGTAGTATGAAGTTACCAACAGTGAACAAAATTAGAATGTTTCAGAGGACAGATTCTCCTCCTGCTGAATAATGGTTTTTATTGTGCAGGACTACTTTCTGTAAGCCTACTAGTAAGGAGTTAATTTCCTACCAAGGAAATGTAACTCAGTATATTTATTTCATATAGTTCAACTAAAAATTTAACTAAATAATACCAAGTATATACACTTCTTCAATAGCTCTTTCACTCCACTGATGTACTCAGTGCAAAAGCTATTCTGTACAAATAATGATTACAAAAAGATAAAAAACCCTTGTGGTTTTTTTCCACTAATCTACATTTCTTAATTGTCTTTCAGAGCTGAAGAGAACAGCAACTACCATTCAGGGTATCGTGACCTTGTAAATCAGAACCATCTGTGGTAACAGTAACTCAGATCCTCACAGATTTCTATTACAAAGTAGTTCATGCTCTTTTGTGGGGGATATCCACATTGTATATAGAGTGCAAAGTCATTTATCTGCCCCCTGAAATGGAATACATATGCCTGAAAATTGCACAGATCTTTGACAAATGATAATAAATATTTCTGAGGAAACAGTGATTCCAGAAACAATGACAAGTAGTTTAATAATCAAACAAAGTGATTCTCAGTTTCTAAAAGTTTTGTTTCTCACAGTGTTTAAGTATGAACTACAAATTAAATTCTTCCCCTCAGCTTAAATTTTTTTATCTGTTAAGTATCAAGCATTTTTATCTTGGTGTTTCAAGTGACACATTAAGATAAAAAGGTGAGTTTACACTGTCATCTTTGTGTCAGTAGTGATCTAACACAGATGTGGGTCATCTGGCTGTCTATTATAGACACCTTCATTGCATTGGAAAAACGAGGCAAAAAGGAGCAGGATTTAGAGTTCCCTACTCCAGTCTTCCTCTCCAGGACTGCAAGACTCTGAGTATTTGTCTCTGGTTGATCCCAGATAGAAGCCAAACAATCTTCATACCAAAACATGGCACACTTACATAACCAAACAGGAGCCCACATGAACTTGTTCTAATGTTTCCCAGCCCCAAAATATTTTACCTTCATATGATTTTTTAGGGGATCCATAAGATTGAAATGAATATTACACTTTGGACAAGCTCGTGGAAAAGGTCCTCCATTTTTAATGGTGCTCGATGCATTTGTCCCTGTAAAATTTAAAATATGTGAAGATTTCAGAATTCAAACAGCATACTCGATTTATCATTATTATCATTATTCTAACCAAATATGCTTTCATTTCAAATGAAAACTATTCCATTCGTGTAGCTGTATAAAACTTTCCATAAGGAAGGTTTTATAACCATCTCTTAACTACCCTTCCTTTTCCCCCATCTTGGAGTTTGTTCTGTTTGATATACACTGATAAACAACTTGTACAAAATCTGAGCAACAAAGTAAGAAAAAACATATGAGGAGGTGAAGGTAACATGAGAGAGACAAAGCACTCACTCTGTGCACCAGCACCCACCACACCCTGGATAGGATGGATTTCTGATGGGATTGTTTTAAGAACTTCAATTTTCAAAGGAACATGCAAAGCCTGTTTTATGCCATGACCTGATCATCATCACAATAGGGTTCAGATAACTGATTTTGGAAAGGAATTTCAGCATGTGGTTCTCAATGATGAGACTATTTCTCTCCTAAAAGTTGTTGGAATCCAGGCCTATTCAAATGCATCATTCTTGTTGAGCAAAGGTGTCTTTGGAGAACCTAGAGAATAAATCCTCTAAATTAACAATTACTCCCAGTAGTGAAAGGAAATGATGCTTCTCTTGTCAACATGAATGATTAACACTTTTTGAGCAAAAGAGAGATATTAAAACTTTGCATCAGCTTAAAAATTCAATGAATAAACCCAAACAACAAAAGCCACTTTTCAGATGAAGTCATTCACAGATCTGGAGGACTCCATACTCAGCAAGCAAGTTGTTTAGAAGTTAAACACAGGAGAAGTAACATCTCAACAGTAGAGTCCCTGTCAGGGTTATGATAAAAAGCAATAAAAATAAACACACAAATACATCCACCTTATAACAAAGAAATGAGTGTATGAGTTGAGAGATGACCATGCAACAGTGTTATGCATTTTTACAAAGAATTAGTCTTGCATAGTCCATGAGGTAGGTAAGTTTTTTCCTTAAAATACCAGTATTGCTAGGCATCATTATTAAGCAGCAACTCCTTCACAGGAGTGGATGGCCATGCAAGAAATGTCCCACAAAACCACGCTGCAAGTCTGCACTATCACAGCCTGTAAACATTTTGACATGTCACAGCAGAGGGAAAACTGAGGTGAAGAAAACGAGTTCTGCAGCAAAGCCTCATGTTCTGCAGTGCTTCAGCACTGGGTTCTGTGACAGGTTAGAAACTGCTATGCGAGCATGGGATGGCTTAGAGACAAACTCAGCAAAATGAGGTTCTCAGTGAGCAGGATCTGCTGCATTTAGGAAGATCCTTGAGTTATCTTTTCTATATTATAGGCTGCAGCACAGTATCTGTGTCACCCAAAACAGGGTAGAGGAATTTTTTTTCTTCAATATTCAAGTTATAACAATTTCCTTCTGGTTGCTGGGAAGGAGTCCTGATAGCAAACCAGCTCCAAACAAGACAGGTAAAAACTCCAAATCTGAAATGATTCCAAACAATCAGTATCATAATGTAGATAACTCCTCATTTTAACATTATAGGAGAGAATACATCTTGGAAATATCAAGAGTCAAGAATAAATCCTTGCCTATAACAATCACTGGAAAGCATCTTTTGGCTCAGAATAAAAATGCACCCAATTATTAAATACTCTAAAACATCTACACTACCTCTCCTCTTGCAGGGAGGGAAAGATCTTTCCAGGAACAGTCCTCTCTTTGAAATCTCCCTTCTCCCCTGCCACTACTATTTTAAACTGCTGCACAAAAAGGGGAGACTGTAAAACACACTTTGTAATAGTCAGTCAAAGTACAGAACCACAGAGTAATTTAGGTTGGACCTCTGGAGGTGGTTTTGTGCAACCTCCCACTCAAAGTAAATCAGACCTTATCAAGATGCTTAGAGCCGTGGTCAGTCAACTTCTGAATATCTGTAAGGATGGAGATTCCACAATCTGAGTCTTTGATGCCTTGCCTGGCACTGCTAAAATGATTTTTTCCCCTTCCTTTTATCTGATCAGAATTTGTTGATAAATTCAGCAGTCATAGAAGTCTTTCCATCTTGATTTTCTAGTTGGTTGTTTTAAAGTTTCAACTCCCTACTCACTTCTTTGACGTAGAAAATCTGAACTAAAAGAATGAGGTCAGGGACATTTATTCTTCTCATCCATCTTCAGATGACTAATTGCTCCACAAAATTCAAACATATCCACTAAACAACAGAGGTCTAAAATTTGAATAGGTAATTACCTCAGGCATATTAATTTGTAAAGGTATGTAAATCCTTGCATAGAATGGTTGTTCTTATTTTAAGGCATAAGAACAGTTACTTTTTACACTGCCTTAGCAGCATTAATAACAGTGACCAACTGAAACACAATGAAGTGTTTTTTCCATGAAAAGAGGCATGGATTGCCAACCAAACCACTGGATCTACCCTACCTTTTGAAGATACATTTTATGATGGTGTTACTGTTGGAGAGTTAACTGGAGGTGAAAGAGCTGAATTGCTTCCAGTAAAAACCTCATTAGGCTCGGCCTTTTCTGGAGTTACACTGCTGCCATCAGAAGTAGCAGGACTCTTAGATACAAACCCCTCTCATTCACACCTACAGTAGTTTAAATTAAACAGCCTCAGTTTTTTTCCATGGTATATTAGAACACATTAGTGATGCCTACACTTGAAAGGATGGACAAGTCCACATAAAGCAGTTAAGATTTCCCTAAACAAATAAGCCATACAGAAGTTCAGAAAACAACATCCAACTCAGACTGAATATTCCAAGGCCAGTGAAGTATGAAAGGGTAAATGCAAAGAGATACAGACCCATTCCTCAAACCCAGTAAATCATACTATGACCACCTGAATTTATTTGGCCTATTTTTCACATCTTGACCCACTCTAATCTGAGACAAGGTGAGTTCACAGTAACAAAGTTAAGCTAAGCAGCTGTTTTCTGGAATGTCCACTATTTGGAACAAGCTCTACCCTTCTGATGAAAAACATTTCTCCTTTCTTTGTTTTTTCTGGTTCTACGTTAATGCTGGTTTAGTTTTTTAACTCTGTAAACTTCAGTTTGTATGCAAAACAAAGTGTTGTAACTTCTAAGCACAGCACATCTATTTGCTCTCTTCGGAATGAGCAGTTGATTTTCTTATTGTTTGCATTATTTCCTCTGAAGAAAAAGAAATCACTAAGAAAAAACACTTAGAAATTCAGAGGTTCAGTGGCTGATTAACATGTCCATCTTGTCACAAGCCCACATCTCTGTCACTTGCTAGAAAGCAATGCTCAAGTAGACCTGAAAGGCCACAGCTACGTATCAAAAAGTGCCAGCACAGGTCTTGTACATCTCTCACAATCACACACTGCAAACAGTGTTCAGACTATCATAAACTATGACAAGGACTGGACTTCAGTTCTGGACACAGTGATCTGAACTAAGGACATTCTTGGATATTCCCCTCCCAACGGTACAGCTGCTCCAATGACTTTTTGGGTGTCATAAGCAGCTGAATTACTATCTCTAAAGCCTTCTCAACAAGCAGAGACATCTTGTGTCACATAAAATCATTCAGACTTCTGAGCAGAAACAAAACAGCCCTCTCTCACCCCTAGTGTGTTTACTCAGTGGGAACTATCTAAAGCTGGCAAACAGTCTGGAGAGGCTCCCTGTTCCGTGCACACAGGCAGACTCCCTGCAGGGAATGCTGATGAGTGTCCTGGACAATTTGCCACACTGTGCCTCATACATGGGGAAACATAATGCACTCCTTATATACATATTTAAACACCCTAACATTCTCCTTTGCAGCACACCTTTCCTTCTTTCTAACATAAATAAACAGATTAGGCTCAAATGCCTCACTCTATGCATTGTTTGCCTAAGATTCATTCATTCACACAAACACAAAATGAACAGGTTATTCATTAGATACTGCTGCTTCTAGAGGGCTTTAATTCACTTACACTCCCACTGTTGGGTATATGAGCTGCTTGCATTGACATGTCTTGCTCAGTAAAGGCTTCCACAGAGCTGGTATGACTTTAGCATTCTTCTCTATCACTGAGGATACCTGAGCACCCAGCCACCAGCCTACAGACTGATTTTACAGCAATCTTCAATAAAGTATTTTATTTGACTTCAGAATACCCATCTTGGGAAAAACGACTACTTCAATACATTAACAACATTGTTAATAATTTCCATTTTAAAAGTTTGACGTGTCTGTGATAAAAATTTTGAAGAGTTTTATATATTTATAAAGGTGAGGGGTATTAGATCAGTTTACACAACTCTGGTTAGTAAATTCCCTCTTTCAGAAAACTATAATAATACTATGAGATTGTATGTTGATTAACATTTTAATTCTGTTGTTTGTTTATGTAAAAAACATAGGCCTATTTTGAAAACTAATCACACCAACTGCAAGTATTATTTAATATCTAATTGGTATAAATCAGACTGACATCTCTTATCATAAAAGTGCCTCTCTTGGTTGGAGTGTGGACAAAAGAATTCCTTGAATCACCCACATTCCAGAGTAATTTAACCAGTCCTCTATCCAGCAGGCCACAGGGACTCCCAGTGCTCAGGACAGCAGGGAAAAGCAGCAGCCAAACAATTCCTGTGTGGTCAGTTTGTGCTCGTAGTGGATATTTTGTAGCTGTTACCAAACAGGTGGTTGTGCTCATACACACATTATTAGTGTGTACCACATCCAAAGTGATGGTAAGAAGGACCAAAGTACACTGGGTGCTGCATCACCTTGCTGAAGGTTCCTAAACACACCTTAGAACACTACTGTGAAGTCCCTAATGCTGCTCTGAGCACCTGTGCTGGCTGGGCCTCATCTTATATTAATGATGGAGAAAGGCATTAGACCCAGTAACCTACGATAAAAGCACTGAATGTACTGTGGAAACACAACAGGGACAGCAAAGCCGAATTGCTTCAGGCCTCTGGTGCATTGTCTGCACCAACATCTCCCATTAATCGACTGCTGTGCACCCATGGATACAGTCCAGTCAACTCCACCCAGCAGTGCTTTTGGTTATGACTTTCTCTGGTTCTTCCACGTGGGGAAAGTCTGTGGGAGAACAGTTCTCAAAATATTCCCAGAAAGCCACACTTTACACATGTCCCCAGTGCCACCTGACCTGCAGAGAAGAGCTACCAATGCTCTACCACCACCACCTATTTAACAGCCTTTCCCTGCTCCGATCTCAGAAATAAACATTTCTGCTATATCAAGCTAAAAAATGTCTTTAATGATCCACGTGTGTAAGTTAAATTGTCCTGCAAATATCACAGGCCAGTTCCCAAAGGGACTCTCCGTTTAAATGCCATATTCCAGAATGTCTGGTGCCTGCAGTGCTGCACAGGAATTAGGGAAGCACAGCACCAACACAGGCCAAGTAGGCTTTGGCACATACAAACATGAACATAAGCACCTTATATGAGCTCCCCAGGCAAGCCAAACCACTAAATACACAGACACTTCCTTCTTGTAAAGTCAAATGTATCTTAAATTTTCCTTCTGTGTCATAAAAATGTTAATGCTTCAACCCACAATTAAAAAACTTTCATTTTAACTTTTAAACCCTATTGCCATCTTACAGAAATAACAGAGACCAAGTATAGTACATATAAGATGTTTTGAATTACAATTCCTGATGCTTTTAATTTTTTCTCAATAATAGACTAATACAAATAATTTTCAAGTATGCAAGCAAGTCCCCTAAGTTAAAAAAAACCAACCACAACAAAACCCCAAACAACAACAACAAAAAACAAACAAAAACCCCAAACAAACAAGCAAACAAAAACCCAAACCGGAAACAATTAAACTTTAAGAGCTGTTCTTTGGAGAACAAGGGCTGGAATACTGAACCATTTTCAAGAAACAAACCCTTTGCTTACTTAACGACGAGCTATTTATGCCAGTAATACAACAATGAGACTACCAAAATAGCTGGACCCAGCAAGAAAACACCTATCAGTGAAGGTCAGTAGTGTACCTGGACTGAATGTCTAAACTAAAAATGCAAAATCATCACATGAAGAAGAATAAACCAGCTCTCACTCTGTCCTACCTAACTTGTTAGTGTGGCCAGTCAGGCCATTCTCTGTATATGACCTGTTACCTCATGGGACAATCAGCAGGGATTGTCCTCCAGAACTTACACACACAATGAGACTGGGCAGTTAGTACAAAAGTACAATCCTTCAAAAAAGAGGAACGGAAGTCCCAGGTTTAATACACTGAATACACTGCATACTTCAAATGTCTTTCTCTGCTGTGACACACACACACAAAAGGTGTTTTGTAGTTTAAGCACGTTAACTATTTACTGCTGAAATGCAATTTAGCTCGTTGAAAAACAACATTATAGTTGTCAAACTACATACTCTTTCCTTTCCCCTCCTTTTCAGGAAGGACCCTTTTGATCCTATCTACTCCAAGTCCTGCATATAGCAGTCAGGAAACCCAGGTCATCATCCCAGAGAATCCCCCCAGCAGATTCAGCTCTTCTTTACAGTCACTCCCATTCCCACCAGCCCAAGAGTGATGACACAAACCTTTACCTGTCAATACAATTACAGTGGATCTGGCAGTGCCTTTTCCCATTATAAGATGTATAAGATGAATTATAAGAGCATTTTAAGATGACATCTCTTGATATTAGTCAGTCTAAAGCACCAAAAAGCAAAGTCTGACAACACAAGGCTCCAGAGTTTATTTCATCAAACATTACACAGTGTTACCCACAGGGAGAAGAAAAAAGCAGCTTATACCATGTTCCAGAAATCCTATTTAAAGTTATAACCCAAAGATCTGCACTATAGTGACGTGACATTAGGTTGATTCTTTTATCAGCAACTGCAGTTACACCCACCTGTTACATTCACTGCTGGCCCAGTCTGGTACTGTGGAACTCCTGAGTTCTGCCTCACACCAAACAGCATATCAGATGTATTATCTGCTGCATCCGGTAGAGAATCCATAACATAATCCTAGTAAGATATTTTCAAGAGGGAAAAGAAATTGAAGGTTTAATATTTTTTTACTTGCAGGCTTCAAAGGGTTTATTTTAAAAATATGATTGCTTAAAAGTACTCATAAGTACTCAGCTGAAAATCAATTCCATTATAATCCCCCCAAAAAAGTTTGACATTTTAATAAGTTTGCAACTCCCATCAGTGCTTGTTAATTTATTCACAGTTGTGTATCAGAATAGAAAAAAAAAAAAATAAAAATGCTATGACCTGGGAAAGTCTCTTTTATGAAGTACTACTAATCTGTTGGAATTGCTAATTTAATTTGTAAGTGCTTTTGTTCAAAAAGTTTGATGATGTTTCAAATTATACTTGAATTGTTTTTCAAAAAAACTAATACTTTCTTCCTTCAACCTAAACTCAGGTATCTGCCTGTTCCTCTTGCATAACAGGTAGCTGCATTTTAAAAGATCAAAAACCAGAACTCAGAGGTAGCACAAATTTGCAGAAGTTTCTCAAAACAACATGATGTTAAATTCAAAGTGGTCAAGCTTTAATGAAAGTAAGAGGTATCTCCAGCAGGTTGACTGGGAAGAGCACTAATTCCCAGGGTCACTAAGTTTTTTGTTTTCTTTTATGTAAAGTATATTTTGTAAGGATTTCTGAAAATAATATCAAACCCTCTTTGCAAAGCACAGCTAACCTAAAGGTTGGTTCATGTTTCCCAGTACCTTGTTAAATTCAGTTTTGCACATCTCCAAGTACAAGTACTTTTAGCCTTCAGTTTAAAAGGTTTGCCCTTTAATATAACCCACACTGGATATAACCCACACAATTTAACAGTCCACTTTTCTTGGCTCCAGCACTGAAGGCTGTTAAAGCTGAACAGCTTCACTCAGTGGGTAACGTTTGGAGGGAAAACAAACATGATATTTAGTTCTCCTAACAAATAGTCAAAGTTAGAGGGTAAGAGAAGAGAAACATTTTCCAAGATTCATCAATACTGCTTAAATCTGAACAGACCATTCTTCCCAGCACAATCTGAAACATGAAACATTTTCAGGAATAGCAATAAGCAGTTGAGAAAAACATAACAGAGTAGGGCTTAAATTTTAACATTAAGGTATAAATGGCATAATATTGGCACTTGATCTTTATCAGAATGAGAAGGCACTCTGAAGGATGTTCAGCTAAAAAGAGGTCCTGTCACAGTGTCCCACAGCCCTTGTCACTTAGGAAGAATCAAGTTGGGAAGAAACAGAACATGTGTGAAAAAAATATCACAGAAAGCCAAGACAGAAAATCACCATTTTAAAAAAGTAGCCCCAAGCGAACTAAACATTAGATGGGGAGGGGGTGAGGAATCAAAAAAACCCAAGGAGCTCATGAATGAAGAGAATTCAACCCAAGGATATGAACCGAAATACAGGTAGTACACATATGACTCTAAAACCAGCAAATGACAGAATGTGACAGGTGTAAATTAAAAATCATTGAACTTTGCCCAAGAAGCTAAACTAAAAGTACCTTCCTAAGAAAAAGGCACAGCAAACAAGCCTCTTTCTCCTTAAAAAGCGTAATATAATCAAGTGGAAGAACAATACAAACCCAAGAAAAATTATTCTAAAGCTGAAACTGGAAATACAGTTTTGAATCCAGAAAAGTTAAGCTGAAGAGATGGAAGATTCACTTTCAGCCTGTCTTAAGCAAGGAAAGAAACCAAACAGAAAACTCCTCCTAAAGCTACTAAAATTTCTTTTAAAAAGCCAAAGAACAGCATGTTACATTCAGGATACCTTAAAAAAAACCACAACAAGCTCATGAAAACCAAGATTAAAATGTCAACGCTGCAAAGAAACTGTAAAACACAATAATTTCAACAATGGAAGTTTTAAGAGACCACAGAATCTGTATGCACCGGATATCCAAGAAAAGGATGCATTCCTTTCTAAAGCACATCAGTCTAACCTGGAATAGGCAGACCATGGTTAGAGAAGCTTGTCCATGTCCTATTTCAGGCTTCAACTTCTTCAAAAAGAACAACCTGCAAATTTTGACAAAGTAAGACTACAAAAACTTAACTAAAGACTCATTTGTGACACAAAGTCAACGAAGGAGAAAGAACTGTCACAAAAAGAAGTGCTGTGTGTAGAGTTTCTTTAAAGGAAACTCTGTCCTGAGGAATTACATCCAGCTTACACACACACTGCATGGAGAAGTTCAACTTTCCCAGGTGTGTTTACTGTAAGATTTTCTCATAAAGACAATGTAGAGGCCCCGAGCAGCTTTATCTGTTACAACAAAAACATGAGTATGTATGTGTGAAGGAAATAAAGGAGGGGCCTTTCCTTGGCAGTAAAGATTCTGCAAGACATCCTAGCACTCCTTTGAAGGATTTAATAAAGCTTACTATGCCATAAATAAACTTTTCTAAAGTTCACAGACTTGAAAGATATGTATATATCATGTGAAGTAGCAGAGTTTTCTGTATGAACCTGTCCTGATTTATATAGATATAGAGGACTGAAAAAGTGACATGGATATCTTACTGAGATCTGGAGTGTAGATTATATCAGTTTTTAGGGTTTCTTATATACAGTGACAGACTGATTCAGCTAAGCTGCTTCCCCACATCCACCATTTCTCTCTGCAAGCTACCAATAAGTAGCTTGCTGAAGGCTCGAAACTGGAAAGCATGAGTTCTTTCCTAATGAATTTGCCAGAGATCCAGTCAGCCAGTTGATAGGCAACGTTACATTGCACTGTTTTTATTCTGTTCTTCATAAAATAAAGCCACCCATCAGTGATGATTTAGCCACAGGTCTTAAGAAGAAGAGCCAATTCCCATCTTTTAATGGTCTAATTAACTATGTTCATTCAGACTGACTGCCCTGTTGAGCAAATGCAGAATCCATCAGGCTGCATGATTTTTATTTACACCACAAGACTGACAGCTGGGACAGCCACAGGTATGTGTATTTGCATGGCCAATAGAGATGGTGCCACTGTCAGGCTTCACCTTAACCTGACAGTAGAAGCCAATATTACAGGCACGTGGTCTAAACAGTTTCAGTATAAATTATTTTCAATAAAAGTATCAGATCATAGTTTACCTCATACAGACAGGGAATTTTAACTCTCATTCTTTCTCTCTCACATATGTCTGATAGATAAGGCAACAAAACCAGCATCTAACTCAACTCCCTCATGTCAGCTTTCTAAGGTTCCGTGGCAATCCAGGAAGATCAATGGTACATGATCTAGGAGAGTAATCCCCTTGGGCTTTTCAAGCAATACAAATATTGCCAAATTGTTTCACCTGCTGGTCCTGCAACTTTTGGTTGCTTAAACCCTCCATACCCTACTAGTGTTTCACTACAACTGCCACACAAATGAAAATGCAAACCCCCCCAGGAGCTACCACTGCAGCATTCTCTTAAGGAGCAAAAAGGCCAAGTAAGGCACTGTAAAAACTAGGTGGAAAAAACACAGTTACTTTACACACCAAATGTAAGCTATTTACAAATTAAATTCATTTATCAATACAGAGGATCCATCTCTGAGAAATATGCAGAATTTAGAGAATGAATTTCCATCATGTTTCCAAACAACATAAAGAACCTAAACAGTACTAATTTCTCTGATGTCTGGGATTTTCATTTAATGTCATTTTACTGTGATTAAAGCTATCATCTTTGAGTCTGGCAAATCAGTATTTCCAAATACACATTTTAATTTACTAATGCAAGGTTATACTCCTAGAATCTTTATGGTTTTACATAATGCCACTCTATAACCTAGTCCAGGTCTTCAAATCACTAGACTGAGTCAGGATGTTCTTCATTAATTTATTCTAAAGTAACGGTACCCTTTAAGTGACTAAAGATTTACCTGATTGAGCATCACAGGCTGTGCTGTTCCAGTCTCTGGCCTGGACACAGGCTGAGCCACTGCAGGAACTGGGATATTTCTTGATGCTGGCTGTGCTGTCACTGGAATGGTTACAGGCTGTGTTATTCCAGAACTTGCCCCAGGCAGCTGCTGTGTTGATAAACATCCAGCCACAGGTCTCTGCAGTGTTTGTGAGGCTGCTGACACGTTCCCTGCCATAGCCAGGGGCTGCCCTGCTCCCGAGCTGCTGGTGGGTCTGGGGGCAGTCTGGAACACCGACGGGATGGGCACGGCGCTGGGGGCAGCGCTCGCGTAATGGTGACCCTCAGTCTTGAATGGAGGAACTGCACCTGTGGCAAAGGATTCCAAAGTTATCTTCATGTAATTTTGCAAATGTTTCTTAAGTGTTGTGGATTTTTTTGTTTTTAATTACCATATTAGGACAATAAAGTACCTCTACAGGGTGCACCATTCTGTATCCCCCTTCGTGGTGAGCTGAGGTTGACTCTGTTCAATATATCTGTCAAAAGTTACATTTATCTTAATTGCAAGTAAATTATTAGCTTTGTTGCTTTTCAAATTAAAAGTAGCATTCATATCCACTAATTAAGCCAACCAAGACTTGACTTATAAATTAGAATATTCCTAACACAAATACCTGGCAAAACAAAGTATAATTTGTACAAATTAAGGTATGTTCTTCCACTCTTCTTCAGTTAAGCTAGTTCACTTAAGAATCTCAGTTTTTATTTTCTTGGAGACAACACACAAATAAGAGTGCAAACGAACAAACAAATTCATTAACATTTAACTTTGCTAATTACAGTGTATTTATTTACTTCTCTCTCTCATATACACAATAAGTTCCCCAAAAAAAGAAACTGCTACACTAAAGGAAGTATTTTCTCTAAACCAGTAATGACCCAATTTGCTTTTGTATTAACAGAAAAATAAGCACTTACAAACTTGGTTTTAGACTTCATGATATTCATTTTTCAATGTGAAAGGAAAAGCAACAGATCAGCAATCAAAAGAGTCATGCTGGAATTGCATTACAAGAGAACTAATTTCCTTACCTATCCTGCATGGTAATCTGTGTCCAGAGCTCTGGCTCATCAAAAACACAGGGAATTTTTCAAATTTGATGTTCGCTCCCTAACTAATGCCACTGATATTTCTCGATTTTTTATGTCTTAGTCTGGGGTCTCCAATCATCCCAGAAAGTTACAAAAATATTCATCAAATCAAAATATTTTTCTACTCCCAGATTCTCCATTAGTGTTGCTGACAAGTTTCTTGTTCTGACCTGTGAAAATATGCATATGAAATGGGATTGATTCTCCAGTACCTAACCACCATGGTTTGAAGTTACTTCTCAAACCGGGGTCAAATTACATTGGCTTTTCAAACAGTAGATCTTAAGAGTATCTACACATTGTGTTTAACAACCTTAAGGCTGTCTCCACCAGCAATAGTTCTTTATTACACACTTTTCCAGTTGATAAATAAACTTAACAGCAGTGGAGCTCAGATTACAGCTCTCAACCTGCCACCTGCATTTAGATCATACTAATAAAAAGCAGCTGCAACCAACAGATTCAAACAGGTTTGCATTCTTTAAGATGGAACAAAATTTCATCCCCTGATAGTAATACTATTTTTACTTCAACACAGCAGTAACTATGAACAAGGATTAAATTAATTCAGGATTTAGCTCAACACACACATTTTGTGATTGTTAATACATCTATACCTCACATTTGAATTCCAGAGTGAAAGCATCATCTTCCTCCAAAAGAAAAGCTATCCTAAAAATTATGTCTCACAAAGTATAGTCAGACAGTGATGTGTACACAATTCACATCCTAAAATACAAAGGCAGATTTTACTGCTTTTAAAAAGAACGTTTCAGGAAGTCAGTTATTTGAAATTGTAAACTACTTTTACATGACTCAGCTGATTCATCAAAGACCTGATGTGCCGTTTTCCCTCTTCCATCAAAGTGTTATTTGTCCTGTTTAGGTAAGAGAGCACTGAAGCAGAAGAAAGCTGACACACAGAGTAACATTGTAAAGTAGTAACAAATTACAGGTTTGTAGCATTATGAAAAAGAAAGCAAGAAAGAGAAGTAATGTAGGAAAAACGAGCAGTTGCAGGAAATTATACAGGCAACAAAGCGTGAATTACTTTTCATCTCAGTCAAAACAATCCTCCAGTACATCAGAAGGGGCACTTGATTCTACATGACACTGTGCCAGCAGGTCAAAGTTGGGTTTTTAACTATTTCCTTCAAGTTATCCACACAAGTCTGTACAAAAACTGGTAACTGCACCGTCAGGAAAAGGTTAAGAAAATGCAATGCACTGCATACTTTCAAAAACATTAAGAACTACACGTGAGTTCCCATTTGTCATCAGTTTTTCATCTGATCAGACAGGAGCTTTCTCGGGTACAAGCTAAGCAGTGATAAGCCAAGTGGAGTTCACAGTGTCTCGCCTGTCGCCGGTAAGGAACTGAAGCCTGACTGCTGCCAGGTGGTACTACTTACAAGCCAGAGAAGAACTGAGGTCATTCTTCCATAGCTGTTTTTGATAGAGAAGTAGAAGATTACAAAGAGAAAAGTTGAGGAGAGGGAAGGAAAAGAGATAAAGTAAAAAGTTATTCCATAAGTGATTTCACTTGTGTCAGGACCGAGCATGGACAGCACCAGAGTAAGATGCAAACATTTTAAGTCTCTACCTTTTATCAAAGCCCTTAAAGTTCACAGAATCGTACCAAAATTATAGTTTGCACCTGAACTATTTCTATCCTTTGACTACAAAAAAATCGTGAGACTAAAACAACTGCAATGATTCTTGGCACATTTGTTGATCCAACATATGCCCAGTGCCTTAATAGTTGTCCTATGCCATGACCTACTGCCAAATACAAACAGCAGTCCAGAGGTCCCTGGACCTTCCAGAAAACAGTAAGGGTACTTCTCAGTCTTTCTAGAAGTTTGTAACTGCAGAAAACGTATTAAAATATCTTTTAAATTTTCTTCCATTTTTTTAAGAATATGCAGAATAATTTTAAAATATTCACCCTTGAAAACTATTTTCAGGTGAGAGACCTTTAATATCATCCTCAGTATTTCTTTAATATTTACAAAGTAATTTTCCACCTTTTCAAACCAGCAACAAACTATCCCAGTGAGCAACAAAGTAAAGTCGCAAGACGAACACTGCAAACTAAAATGACTGCAAAGTTACCTACAGCTCCAAAATCCAAGCAGTAGAGTGTGACTGACAGCCTAGCTTAACATTCTGTTTTGAGATTCCCCGCTGCAAACTATGCACCTTCAGAAAACAACTATGGAAATCTTGGATACAAGCATAGGAGACATGAGGCACAAACTGAGAGCAGCAAACCTTACCAGGCACAGTCTCAAGTATTTGACTGCCAGAGAAACCTTAGGTCACACCTCTTAACAACTGACTACCAGACGGATGCACACAGAAATCAAAAAGTTTCATTACTAAAATTAATTAAGGTAATTAAAAGCAGTTCTTCTTTACTTACCTGCCAAAGCTCAAGCACAGACAGACATGGAATCCTGACACATCTGCTGTCATCATAACCACCTAACCTCACTCCCTGCACTGCCTGCATTAGGAGAAAACTACAGAACTTGATGAAAAAATCTCTCTATTTTACAAGGGATGAGTAAATTGATTAATAAATATCTCCTACTTCCCAGACAGGCTTGTAGCATTTTCACATTAATCCCTTCTCCAGACTGTCCTTCTATGATAGACACTTAAGACAGTTACCCAGGTTTTGTCGGAATGGTGTCCACCAACATACAAAATGTGGGGTAGAGAGAAAAAAAAGTGACTGTAACACGAAAACTTAAATTCATGCACATTCTTTAAGTGAGGAGACACTTTCAAGTATGTAACTAAATACCAACTGTACTGAGAGCAATTGCATGCATGGCTTCAGCATCATATATATTGACTTTAAAACTATGTTGTTAATGCTAAAACCTTCAAATGTCCTTGTTCTGACTCCAGAGAATTAAGGTTAGAGGTAAAGAGAACTGTGCATGACCTGGGTTTTAGGACAGAATTTCTTAAAAGTTGTGATTTTCAGTATGACAGACATGTACAGCTTTAAGATGTAGAATTTCTTAAGTCCTACTGTTAAAAATTCTATCTTTTCTAACTAAGTTTTAACTTTCTGTATCTTGAAATATCTGTTTTAAATTATGAACAAGTTATCTTACATGTAGTAGCTGGCTTCGAGCTTGTGATTTCCCCAACAAAGATTGGCTCATCATCGTCGTCGTCGTCATCCTCCTCCACTTCTGTCACTGTCTTCTGCCATGGTTCCAGCTCCTCTTCTTCACATTCCATAAATAATTCTGCCATCTTGGAACTAGACAGTAAAAAAAAAAAAATTTAATAAAATCACACATACCAAAACATTCAGTACTTTCATGAAGTGTTTCACTGGTCAGTAAAGAACACTGCACTTGTCAGTAATTCCCACACAAGGATCTCCCCCCTCTCCATGTTCTGTACAGGTTGAACATGATCTGATACAGGAGATCTTCAAGGATTGATGCCACATCACCGTTTTGATAATTTCATCTTTGTATTAAAGAGAAAAGACCAAAGATATCCTCCACATAATTTAAACTGCTTTTGTATAGCACACCAGTAACTATCAGAGGAAGCCACGGACACACAGTATCAGTAGCTTTCAAAAAACATTCCTATCCTAAGTCAGTGATTCACAAGAAATGTGAAGGGCCCACTACAAAGCACATCATTTACCTGGCACAACTGAGTTACTGAAACCCTAACTACAGCTTTATTCTCTTTGCATCTTAAAAACCCCAACATAAAAACCCAAAACCCCACCCAATCCCACAACCTCCCAAATTTTGTAGGATTTTCCCAGGATTTCCCATATAGCCACATTTCCTTTAAAACACAAGAAAATTTACACAAAATTCCCCCAAATCCACAAAACATTAACAAAAACAAACAAACCACTAACAAAAAAACTCCACAACAGCAAAAACCCCAAGTCATACCCACAATGCACTGCAGTATTTTCATTATCAATTAGGACTTAATAAAAATTCTGCATGGATGTCATTAGACTGAGTCCCTCATGCTTGGAGATTTCCTCTTGCAGTAAAAAAAGCCATGTAGAAAATAGTAATGAAAAATAAGTAGCTTTTGGAATTTAACAAATTATCTTCACATCTCTTATCACAATTGGGTTTATTTGTTTTTTAAATAAACTTTGATGGCCAATGAAGTTTTTGTCTTTCTTTTCACATTCTTCTAGCACAATCTTGAAAGTATTTCTGAATAACACAATAAATAAGAAACTTTGCTGTTTCTTTGCACACAATATCAATAATCTAATTTCTAATAAGATCATTTCTAATTTCATACAACCACAGGGCTGTCTCAGACACAATCAGGATCAGGATCCAATAACAAGAGCGTTTGCTTCTCCTAAGACGTGGAGCTTTACAAAATGCAGTGTCTCCATTCTTCTGTAAATCAGAGGGAAAGAGTAACAGTTTTGCATAAGGAACCCAAGAATGACTCTGTCAAGAATTCCTTCTAATTAATGAGTAGTAAAGCACATGAAATTCATCATCAGACTGCTCGGACAAAAAGTGAGGAATATCCAAGCAACAGTTCCTTTTATAAGCTCATAGTCAATATAAGAATATTTCTAGTCTTACTACCAGGCTACTCCCAACCAAAACCATTAACAATACTTCCCTCACTCTTGAGCTGAGGCAATATTTACCTGAGAAAGCTTCACTTTCTACTATTATGCAATGATAGTTCTCTGATCCTTTAACTCCCTAAAACCAACAGCAGGGCATCAGACCAGCACTGTGTACACAATTATGTCAGCAAAGACCATCAAATATCTCACTAAAGGTGACAAAATCGAGATTACATTCATATCATGAGCTGGTATTTCCTAATCTATTTAGCTTGTAAGATGAAGAGGGTGTTTATTCAACACATTTTTCTGTACAATTTCCCATTGTTTTCTCCTTTCCAAAAACATTTCAAGAGCAACATATATATTAAACATTCGGACGAGTTTCTCGTTTGAAAGTATACTTCTGCAAAGGTAAAAACATCCCTCACTATCCATCAACAGTTTGAAAACTTAAGTCTTCAGCACAGACACAGTGAGAAAACTGTCTAATATCTGAAAGGAGACAATTTCAGGACAGGAGTAATGAGCTGGTAGATTTGATGATGGACTGTGGAAATAATTAGTCTGTAATAGCTCCTCACAAGGGAGCAGAGAGAATCATCCTCTGTTGGAGAACGGGGCTGCTGCTGTGGGTACATGGTAAGTCTTGCAATAAAGTAGCAAAGCTGTGCTCCTTTCCTTCCTCCACCAGTTTTTTGGAGTTAGCCATGGTGCTAGGACACAAGAGAACAGGACACTAAAGCAGACTCTTGTATGGGGAAAAGAGGAAGATTATGAAGCAAATTTCCACTTGGCAGAGACGACACAGGCCATGTGCCAGGTCTGGCACAGAGAATCAAGCCTAACTCCCTAATTTTTCCTTCTCTGCAGAAAGACACTCTTTAGAACGCCTCTTTTTTTAATAGCACAAAGTTTAACAGGCTTCAAGACAAAAGGAAGGATTACTTCAGGGACTTCTTTTATGGAACTGACAACATAAATGAGCTGTGTTTATATTTTAAAAATGTAGTTTTATTTGACCTCTGGGGGAAAAAAAGTAATAAATTATAAAATGTGCACATACAATGCTATAATTTATATTAAAACACAAAATAGGCACAAACAACCTGTAAGTTAGCAAGTCCTAGCAAGAGACATGTGATAACCTCATCTACATTATAATGCAGCTGAAATTTTTCTTAAATACAGTTAAGAGTCATTTGATAAAATAGGCATGGGCTTTTAGAAAGTGATGCCAGTTGGTGACACCTTACATTTCATTTTATGAATCAGGAGGTACACATTAAGGTATTCTCAAAGGTGAATCAAAATGCAGGGCAGCTTTTAAAAGGCAAGTATCAAGATTAATTTCACATTTTCTAATCTCTTTTTTTTTTTTTTTTTAAATTTTAATGCTATAATTTGAAGCCAAGCTTTCACTGACTTTTTTTTCCCGGGAAGAAAGCCAGCCTAATGAGTTCCCACCCTGCTCCTTCCCTGCTGCCTCAGTTGTGCTAGCACAACTTTGCACAGGACTCTGACATGAACTAGGGCAGGTTAAAAATAACCTGGCCCACTAACAGTTCTATCCAACAACTGAGAGGTCAAAAAATCTGTGGCCTGAACAATCAAAACTGCAGTAAGGGGAAATGGATTTGATTAGAGGAGGTGTGCAGGAACAGCTCCAGCAAATGGTCTCCACTGCCAAAGAAAATATCTACATCCATTTTTAGAGTACAAGTAGCTTCCAAATGGTTAGCTTATTTAATGCAGAAAATGCATTCTAGGAATCCTGCTGGCAGTTGCACTCAAAGGCAAAACCAACAGTGAATCTTTCCCCCACTCTTCTCAAATACTTCCCAGTGGTGATGCAGGCAACAGTATAAGAAAAACAAAGACAAAAGACTTCATCTTCCTCATTTTTAATATGCATAAACACATACATGTCTGTACATATATTTCCTTAAGGGTAGTCCATGGATCTGAGAGGTCCAAAACTCCAATGAAATGCTATATGTATATACTCAAAGGAAGTGTTCAAATCATTACTGTAGGTTAAAGTGACAAAAATGTGAACAAGTTCTTTAAAACATTTTAAAAATATCATTAGACTATACCAAGATACTGTTTTAAAAGGCAACTGTCCATCAGAAACTAGGGGTAGCCATGAAAGGCCATTTTAGTTACTACAAAAGTGAAGAACTAACAACTTGACACAAGACAGAGAGAAAATGTGAAATCATTGCACAAAACAGCAATAAACTTCTAATGAAATAACTGTTTTAAAAGCACTAATTAGGACATCCTTATCAAGGCAATTATGTCTCATTAACTGTAGAAGAGTGCCTTGAAGATGGACAGAAATCAGTAGTACAAATCATGGCAAATGCCCCGTGTATTACTTAAGGTGCAATTCACCTGTTCCACTGCTAAACTTAACTGAGCCTTCCAATACTCAATACTTCTCTGGATTACCTTAAACCAACCAAAATCATATAACTGATATGAAATCAGCAGTGAGCTTAAAGTCAGTGAGCTTAAAGAGTGAGGACATTTACATTAACCTGGAAGTTTTCAGACCAGCCTGGTCATCTTTCCATTAATAGTATTACAAAATCATAGAATATTCTGAGTTGGAAGACACCCCCATGGATCATAAAAGTTTAACTCTTAGCCCTGCACAGGACAACCCAGAAGTGCCTCAGAGCATTGTCCAAACTCTTCTGGAACTCTGGCAGACTTGGTGCTGTGACCACTTCCCTGGGAAGCCTCTTCCAGTGCCCAAGCACTCTTTTGGTGAAGCACCTTTTCCTAATAGCCAACCTAAACCTCCCCTGACACAACTTCAGGCCATTCATTGGGTCCTACCACTGGTCACCAGAGAGAAGCGATCAGTGTCTGCCCTTCCTCTTTCTCTCAAGAGGACGTTGGAGGCTTCCACGGGGTCTCCCCTCAGTCTCCTCTTCAGGCTGGACAGAGCAAGTGACCTCAGCTACTCCTCACATGGCCACTATCTGTGAGTTACTCAACGTTTTCCTCCACTTTAATAAGCGTACTTCAAATGCCCAGGGAAGTTGTCTTATTTACAATACAGATCATACAACAGGCACCACGTTGTATTTCTCAGACGACTTCCCATAGAGGCACATGAATTTGCACTATATTAGTTATCGAAGGGTGTGCAATCCACAGCATCGCCAGGTCTGCAAACAACCGGGCTATTACTGAGCGCTGCATTTGTTTCAGCAGCGAAGAAACAATGACCAAGACGAAACTGCACCTGCACGTTGTAAAAAGCCACAGCGTAAAACAACTTGCCTCAAACCTAAACCTCAGCATCCAGCGCTGCCCTCCCTGCCAGGAGAAGGCACAAGCTCCGCCTAGGGAAGGGCAATACGGGCTGTGCCAGCCCGCCAGCAGCTCACACCGCCGAGCCGCGGCGGTGCCAGGCCGGGGGAGCAGCCGAGTCCCGAGGGCGGTGGAGCAGCTGCCGCTCCCGCCCGCCCGCCCCGCGTCCCGCCCCCGCGCCGGGTGACCGCGGGGCCCTCGGGCTGCAGGCACGGGTTCGGGAGAGGCCGCACGGCAGAGCCGCGGCGGGCGGGGAGGAGGCCGGGCCGGCAGCCCTGCGCTC